TTTTTATAACCTTATTTTGTTTATATGACAGACAAGGTAATTTTAATTAATTTTATTTAGTTTTCTCGGCGTTTTAACAATTTTCCTTTTGGTCGGAGTAAGGGAGTGCAAAATTGTCCATTGTCCCAAGCGCTTTCGACTACTTCTTTAGCCATTTTCTAGGGAGTTTATTTCGGTGTTATTAATTTCTTTTCATGTTTTGATTGTTAGATGTGCATTTTTTGTGTTGTTATGAATACTAGTTGGAGAATTTATTCCGAGGCTTCGCGTGTTGAGTGAGCGTCTTTCAATTTTTTAAACTTTCCACCCATTGTTAAACATGATGAGGATAATAGTGGGTGAGAGATGCTTAATATACAGAGCCTCTCTTATGGCCAGATGTTTTCGGTAATGTGATTTATATAGAATTTTAGTGTTTTCGACCAGAATTTTTCTTAAGGGTTCTTGTAAATTGTGGGTAGTTATGTTTCTTTTATAGCACTTTCATCTGATAAATACACGTGAGGCGTTTGCTGAAGGAGGTGGTAGTATGGCCAATATAGGTAGATAACAAGAAACACAATCTTGTACTGGGCAGTGAAATTAATACATTATATTAGTTATCGCTATTTTAGATTTTAGTAGATTATTTTGATTAGTGACAACAAGGTTTTTATGACTTTTTGTAACCATATATTCCTGTATCATAAATCGATGAACTTTTTTCAAAAGTAATGAAAAAGGCATTAATTTGTTTTAGTTCTTGAAAAAGGTCACCCCAAAACTTAAAATTTGATTTTATCATCTACGCAATAAAGATAAAATATCAAAATAACCCAGAAGCTTTATTTTTCAATTTGCTAATACCATAATTGAATATTAACTATGTATTTTTAATGAATTTAACAGTTTATAACTATAGCGTAACATATAAACTTACAAAAAACAAGTTCTAGAAGATTCCATAAAATTCTAGAAGACACCAGGAAGTTCTAAAAGGTTCCAGAAAATTCTAGAACTCTCCAGAAAATCATAGTACTAATACACTTATATACGATTCTAGAAATTTTGTGTTGGGGGTGAAGTTTTTAAAAAAAATTAACTGAATTAAAGAGTTATTTTATTATATGTAAACAAAATTTCATTGAATTCTGATACGGGAAATCAATTATTTTACTAAAAAGTAAAATAGTCAAAACCCTATTATATATACAATAGAAAAAAATGAATACTTGAAGCATACTAAGAAAAAATCGAGAAATGTTTAAGCAAGAGAGTTTCAATATAAATGAGAGAGAGAGAGACTCTATGTGTGTAAGTGTGTGGAGAGAGAGAGACTCATGTGTGTGAGAGAGAGAGACTGTGTGTGTGTGAGAGAGAGACTCTATGTGTGTACGTGTGTTTGTGAGAGAGACTCTATGTGTGTATGTGTGAGAGAGAGAGAGAGAAAGAGAGACTCTATGTGTATACGTGCGTGTGTGTGTGAGAGAGACTTATGTGTGTACGTGTGTGTGTGAGAGAGAGACTATGTGTGTATGTGTGTGTGTGAGAGAGAGAGACTCTATGTGTGTACGTGTGTGTGTGTGTGAGAGAGAGACTCTATGTGTGTACGTGTGTGTGTGAGAGACAGACTCTATGTGTGTATGTATGTGTGAGAGAAAGAGAAAGAGAGACTCTATGTGTATACGTGTGTGTGTGTGTGTGTGAGAGAGAGAGAGACTCTATGTATGGATGTGTGTGTGTGTGTGAGAGTGTATAGGAGGAAGAGTAAATTGTCTTCCAGTTTTTAATGTAGCATCATGTTTTTGGGAGGTGGCGATGGGACAAGTAGAAAATAAATTTTGAATAAAACCCAGCACAATAAAACACTGACACCTACGTTCTTTTCGCCATGTCATTGATAGCGTTCCATTCGCCTGTTGCCTTCGGTCATGAACGCTATGCTCTGCAGATCATTGACTTCAAAAATTCAATTATTGCATCGGCGGCAAATCAAAAGTACTTCTGCTCTTCTATTTGCGGGGACAGACCATTAGAAAAATGAGTGTTTGAATGAAATGGTGAATTACTATTGCTAATTCAATTTTTCTCAGGATATTCTAACCAATAAATGGTGGATGACCTACTGAGACTTGATTTTATACCATTGCATATAAATGAGAAAATTTCTCTATCCGATTTCGTGCTGGCTTTGCTTTTTCGTTAAAGCTTTCGTTTTATCATTTTATTTTGAAGAAATCCTAGTTGAATGTTTTTAAAATAGCAGATATAAACAAAAATACTTAAGTTACTTAAGCGCTTATACATATGTAAATATATGTATATATTTTTATATTTTATTATTATTATTACTTCCTTTGGTTTTGTGGTATACGCGTTTCCTTCTGAGTCCCAACCAGAAACCCAAGGTCAGAAATGATGAAATCATCATTATCACCATCATCAAAATCACCAGCAAATAGATATATAACTTTATGTTCTTCTGGAATATCGATGAAGTTGTGTTTTTAGACATAAGCCAATAACAAAAATGCTTCTGTTTGTAATATCAAATATGTTTTTTTTAATAATTCAGTAAATCCGGAATTTGTTTGTCGAATAAACGAACAGCGAATAAAAGATAAAAGGTAAGAATGAAACAATATAATTCATAGCACATATGAAAATGCACCAAATGTATACGCCAAAAGTATTGGAACAAATGCCGAAAATAATATTTTTAATTATGAACATCCTAAAAGAAATCTATTTTTCACAGCCGCTTTCGGATTTTAGCCTCAATTTAATAATGAAATACGCAGTCTCTTTTCATTCGTAAAAGTCACAAGGTCTGATAGTTTTATTAAAGAAAATAATATATCGTGATTTCATTCTGAAATGGCCAATATTTCTTTTTTTTTCTCTAGAGTTGAAGTCCATAGACTCTGTGAAGTGAGGGAAAAGATCTCATTAGTTTTGAAAATTCTGTTGTCTCGACTATCACTGGACTTTAAGCCTAAGGTATTGATTGTCATACTATTTGTGAGTCACGGTGGCGACAACAGCGACTGCTAATAAGCTAATACTACTACTATTAATTACTATTCACACACACCACAAGCTACATTTTAATTGAAAAAAAAGTAACATTCTACAAGATTTTGAAATTCAAATTGACTTTTCATTCAAGACCGGAGTTAAACATTGTAAACAAAGAAAATCTGTCGGAGGACATTGCTATGGAAGCTGACCCCAGAGGAAATAAAAAAAAGAGTGAAAAACTGTTTAAAAATGTTTAAAAAACATTATTTGAAAAAAAAAATGGTTTGTCAAAAGGACGTTTTTTCTCGTGAGACCGCTGTAGGTCCCGCCAGGGATTTCTAAAAGAAAACTAAAAACGAAAAAATAAAAACGAAAATGGATTTTAAATAATTTAAATGTTTTTTTGAAGTTAAATGTTGGCTTTATTTGAAAGATAATAGCCTTAAAGACAATTCGTCTGAAAAAAAATTCTGTATTTAAATAAATGTTTCAGGTATTTTAAAACATTGGAACAAACACTCGTCACTGGTCGAACCACAAATATAGACGAAAAAATGTAAACATATGAGTTAACTGCACACGACAGAATATATATATAAAAAAAACATTGGGATACAACTGACAGAATAAACGAATTAGATAAGCGGCTACTGCAGACGATAGAATTAAACAGTAAATTAAAAAGCGACTACCTATGACAGAATAAAAAAGAATAAAGGATTTAAAGTTTAAATACAATAAAAGAATTAAATATTGGCGACTTCTTTTCTTTCTTTTTTTATGTGCCATGTCCTGTCAGGACGTAGGTGATCATAGTTCTCCACCTCCCTCTATCCCTTGCAGCTCTCAACAAGTTCTTTCCCTCCACTTCCTCCCCAGACCACGTTCTGTCATCCACTTGCTCAAGATCGTCAGGTATCGCTGCTTTCCCTTGTCTTTCTTTCCCCTATTCGACCCGTGAGTATCAGATTCTCCAGGGTCTCCTTCCGCATTATGTGTCCAAGAAACTTCAGCTGCCTTTTCCTGATGTTAAGTATACGCCTCCACGTAAGCGATCATAGCTCTCCACCTCTCTCTATCCCTTGCAGATCTCAACAAGTTCCTTTCCTCTGCTTCTTCCCCACCCACGTTCTGTTATCCACTTGTTAAGACCGCCAGGCATGTCACACGTTGTTTTCGCTTGTCTCTCTTTCCTTCTATTCGACCCGTGAGTATCAGATTCTTCAGGCCCTCTTTCTACATTATGTATCCCAGAAACTTCAGCCGCCTCTTTCTGATGTTAAGGATAAACCTCCTCCTTGTTTGCAACCTCTCGAAGATCTCATCATTTCTCAAACGCTTGGTCCATATCCTCAGCATCCTTCCGTAGAACCACATCTCCGTCGCCTTGAGTCTCTACTTAATCCTTGAGGAAATCGTCCAACATTTGCTGACATGAAGAAGGACAGATATCATGTAACAGATCAGTATTCTTTTTTTTTTGTTACCAAAGAAATCATCCTGTCTTGCAATAATCTGCCCAGTTTTTGGAATGTGTCGCTGGCCATCCCAATACATTTACGGATCTCAGTGTCGCACTTACCGTCCTCTGCCAAGACGCTTCCCAGATATTTAAACTTCGGCCTCTACTTGATCCTAGTGTTCAAAAACGGAATAAAAGAATAAAATACGATGTAAGAGAACATGGCAGAGTAAAGAATTATTTAATGGGCTACTCTATATGAGAACATTGCTTATAATCAGTGGTTATTTTTAAATAGCAAAATAAAATATTTGATTTGGCTGATTCGTTTTTTGCGGCTTTTCAACCCTTTACAGTTTATTTAAAGCCAGGCCATATGTTTTAGATTGTATGAATTTGTTTTGAGATAATAATGGTTTAGTGATACAATTCTTACTGATTAACGCATAGCTGGGGGGAGAAGATATAGATTCCTACCTTTCCCATGTGGATTTTGAACTCGGATCTTCCATTAAAAATTCCGATTCATTATCCATTACACCCCCTATTCCCAAGCTATTACCCATCTAGGTAATGACCTGGCTCGACGTTGCTCAACTTCGGTAATCGTACGGGAACCGGTGTTTCACCGTGATTTGGCCGTAAGCCGCAAAGTGAAAGAATTAAATACTAAAGTTTATGCACAAGACAAAATGAAGTACATGACGGAATAAAGATCCTGGCATAAGAGAATAAGTAAGGAATAATGGAATAAGTAAGGAATAAAGAAATAAGCAAGAAATAAAGGTATAAGTAAGGAATACAGGAATAAGTAAGGCATAAAGAAATAAGCAAATAATAAAGGAATAAGTAAGGAACAAGCAATGATAAAGTAATAAGTAAGGAATAAAAGAATAAGTAAGGAATGAGCAAGGAATAAAGGATTACGTAAGGAATAAGTAAAAATGCAGGAATAAGCAAGGAATAAAGGAATAAGAAAGGAATAAAGGAATAAAAAAATAATAAAAGAATAAGTTAGGAATAAAGTAATAAGCAATAATAAAGGAATAAGCAAATGATAAAAAAGAATAAGTAGGAATAAAGGAATACGTGGGGAATTAAAAGAATAAGCAAGGAATATGCAAGGAATAAAGGAATAAGCAGAAATAAAGGAATAAGCAAGGAATATGCAAGGAATAAGCAAGGGATAAAGGAATAATAGTGAAACTAAATCAGATATAATTGTTTTGTTTTAAAATTGAAACCGACTGAGGACTAAATTGACTTATTGTCAACAAAATAAAGTCAAAATGCGTCTTTAGTCATTTCTGCAGTCGATGAGATAAAAAGTGAAAAGAGATTGAAATGTTGAGAAATATCTGCATTTTACTTGAGAGATGCGAATACTGAGGGGCAAATAGCGATCACATTATTATTGCAACATTTGTAAGTTCGCCGAAGATATTAAAAAAGAGATAAAAAAATGGGAGTCATCGGAAATCTAAATAATTCTTCCTATTCAGAAAACAAGATTGCTGAATCCTGTCAGAAATCTAATAGGCTTAAAGAATACTTATTACCACTTGACCCCAAATGTGAACCACGAGATTCTAATGCGAAAACTCTTTCAATAATAATAATAATAATAATAATAATAATCTTTTTATGTGCCGTCTCCCGTCAGGAGGTAGACGATCATGGCTCTCCAAAGCTTCCTATACTTTGTAGCCTTTTGCTATGTTCTTTTTTCTTTTAATTATCTTCCCCAGTCTCTCTTCTGACATTCATTTAAGTTGCCCGTTAATCGGTTACAATCTGGTCCCCTCTGTCCCCTCTTGCCTTCAAAATGTCCGACTAGTGTCGACTTTTCTTCTTTTTCTCATTATGTGTCCAAAAGTTCAAGTGTTTCTTTCTGATTCTAAGTATAAGTGTCCTTCTTGTTTCCATTTTATTTAAAACTTCCTCGTTACTCACATACTCTGTCCATGGTATTCTCATTATCCTTTTTTGTAGATAACACATCTATATTGCCTTACGTCTCCACTTCATCTATGAGAAAATTGTCCATCGTTAACTGCCATATAGGAGGATTGTTACTATATAGCAGTTCAGCGCGCCTTTTTTTACCTTCTAACGAAAATTTTCCTTTTCTTTCTTTTTTTTTTTAAGGAATCTTTTGCTATCCCAAGTCGCCTTCGGATTTCGGTGTCACATATTCCATCATCTATTAACACTTCCCAGATAGTAAAATTTCTGTTCTTGTTAGATTTTGATATTTTCAATTCATAGCTAGCATCTTGGGCTGTTCCTCTTGATAACGACATTATATTATATCAGCTTGCAATTTTTTCCCACTTTCCTTTGCTACACACATACATAAAGAAATATTTACGGTTTTTCGGGTAGGTTTGGAATCCGTTAATTTCTTGAAACTTCGGATGAACGCGTCGTCCCTCCTTTCATTCGGAAAGTCATAAATTATATTAACGTTAAATTTAAAAACTCGAATGCTAGTAAAAAAAAATAATAAAAAATGATTAACCAATGAAAAGTAAACAACACAAACGTAAAAAAAATACCAGCATTTATTTTTTCTTTTTCTCTATATTTCTTTCTCAGATGAAGTTTAAATAAAAGTGAGATATGTTAGAATGATAAACGTTTTCTATCTTTTTTTTTCTATTTATCTTACCTAACATTCCGATCCGTATTTGATCTATATTTGATAACAACTCATATTTCCTTTACACATTGTTGTCATTGAATAAAAGTACTGATGTTGTCGAATGCATGTAAAAATGATTAACCAATGAAAAGAGAGGAAGGCGAGGACGTTACACGTGACTAGCGAACAGAATAAGACGTATACATTGTAGACCAGATGTGGTTGTTATGTACAATGAACCTCGGTAATATAATTGATGTGTGTATTCAGCAAAGACAAAAAAATGAGTGTGTGTAAAACGTTATCAGCTTACAAGACTAATGGAAATCAGTCTGTTATGTGATACATGTATCTTTCGATACATGACTGATGCGGCAGATTTTTCCCGCAGTAGGTTGCCATTTCTTTTTGCCATTCATGGCTATAGAATCCTGTCTGTCCTCCTATTTACTCATAGCTTTAGAAGAAGAGGATTTGTACCTTTTCCGAGGGAATTAGTACGTAAGTGAAAGTAATGGATTCGACGGAATTCGAACTCGGCTCTGCGATTCCTCAATCCAAGTCCACCGTGCCTCCTAATACAAGACTGAATCTTTCGACTGTTTATTCAATTCCGAACTTCGTTAATCACCGTAGGGTGAGTAGGGGTGTAGCGTCGGATTCATCTCCGAACGTTGTCCTTGCGTTCTTGTATGGATTTAAGAGATTCTGCCTTTTCCCTCATGGGTGAGTTTATATATATATATATATATATATATATATATATGTCTATGATATGGTTTTCCACATGTGCAAATCCTATGTTTACATGCCACTTGTTTATGTGTGAGGGTGACAGCCTGTGATATCGGGTGAAATGTGAATCTGCACTTGATAGCTGTTGGGTTATCTCTCAGGTCAACCCACTGATGCACCTGACTTCTCTGAAGGACATTGAGTGCAAAGTCTATTCTTGTATGATCTGGGTGAGACCAATACATACTATACAAAAGAAGAGCCTTTAAAGAAGAATGAGAAAGAACTGAGGCGATTAATCAAGTTGACGAGTTTACGGGGTTGAGTGCTTGATATTTTGGCCAATCATCACAAATAATAGGACACCAGCATCAGCAGAATCCAGAAGCTCTCTTGGAAAGAAAGAATTTGTCTTAAGAAGTAACAAGAAGGATATTTATATTAAGACCGACCATGTAATCCAAGTGACAAGACTGGGTGTTTTGGTCGTAAAATAATCAAAGGAGACATGCCAGGTAATTGATGTAGCGCCATCAGAATCTAATAGACTAAAGACAAAAGAAAGTTAACAACTGAAATAATGTAGGCAACTCGCTAGAGAGCAAAGAAATTTGTAGAGCATAAAAATTGGTGGTGGACTCTAAATAGCTGACACGCTTTCATCACGAGAAGTGATATTGATACAAGTTGGACATTCGAGTAAAATTATCCAGATAATTATTTTGTTGGGTAAGGGAGCATACTGAAAAATGTGCTGGAGATTTGGTGTCGCTTAATTTGCAAATATAGGATGTCCCATAATGACGGGAGACATTTTAAATGCAAGTATCTTGGATTATGAATAATGACATCGAGTACCAAATATATTTATTACATAATTGTACAAGAGTTCAACAAAAATTTGAATATTACATCCCTGCGATGGTTACCACCACGAAGAGAACATGCACGAACTCGCTCTCTCATTTCAAACACAGACATTATGAGGATCCATCGTCAGCAAAAGAGATATCAGATACCTATAGAAAATAGCACAATCTTAGATTTTTTGAACTTATGGGACATCCTGCATAAAAAAGCTATAATAATAATAATAATAATAATAATAATGATAAATGATCTTGAAGTGAAAATCTAAAAATATGGCTCATGAAGGCATCAGTAATTCCAGCTGTGTTTGGAATCCTGGGTTTGATTAGAAATGCATTGACGCACTGAAGAAATCCCTGGTAGGCCAAGCCTTAAAGAAATACAAAAAGAATGTTCTTACAACTACAGCTCACACCATACGAAGGACTTGTGTATCTATGTAACTTGTCTGTGTGTAGACTGTTTTATTATTTTTTTTTTTAAAAAGTGTTCAGTAATGTCATGACGCCATTATTGACCTATTGACCTTAGGTCTCTGGTTGGGACACGGACGAAAGTGAATATACAACAGAAATCAAAGGAAATAATAATAATAATAATAATTTTAAAATTATTATTATTGTCAAAACAGATTTAATGGCCACGATCTGATATCAACAGAACTTGCGGAACATTTTATCACAACTGACTATAATTTCGAGGAACATTTTAAGGTGCCCATTCTGAAAAAAATCTCCAGAATAAATACACATTTTAACGAAAGTTTAAACTAATATACACAATCATACAGCATCATATAAACAAGAAAAAATGATGCTTCCAATGTCAGCTTCATGTCCAAGCAATTGTAACAACAATCCTGATCTGTTGACTTGCAATCTCTTGAGGTTTCAGGTTGAAACTTGAAGGCAGTTAGTAAAACAAACAACCAGACCTAATATAAAATAATAATAATAATAATAATAATAATGAACTAAGTGGAAAATGTCATAAAGCCATTTCTGACCTTAGTTCTCTGGTTGGGACCCGGAAGGAAATGTGTATACAACAGAAATCCAAGGAAATAATAATAATAATAATAATAATAATAATGTCCTATATTCTGTGAAAGGTGCTATCTGTTTGCCGCCGTACGACTTGAAGAACACCCTAGGTGAAAGATCTCTATTTGAAAACGGAAAAACTATGCGAAAGAAGAAAGACAAAAGCAACAACACCACCAGCAAGACCACCACCACCACTACTACTACTACTACTACTACTACTACTACTACTACTACTACTAATAATAATAATAATGTCAGATTTGGTAGCAATAAACAAGAAGAAAAGATGTTTCATCGGAAAGTTCGCTGTTCCGGCAGACCATACAGTAAATGTGATAACAAGTTGAATGATACAGAAATATCTCGATATAGACGGTGACCTGAGCTAGTTGTAGAAGCTGACTGTGACAGTCGTGACAGCTTTTATCGAATCGCCAGTTCCCAAGAGTATTGAAAAATGGCTTGAAGAACTGGAAATTAGAAGAAATATTGGAAACAATGACATCGCAGAACTGTTGAAACCAGCTAGAATACAAGAAACACAGCCAGGGTAGTTGAGGAAACTTGCTTGTCACTTCATTTCCAGTTGACGCCAATGTTACTGCTGATGTGAATAATACATAATAAATAAATTATACCCTGGTCATCTCGGCCTTCATACCTACGGCTGTCCGCATTCAACCAGTCATTTAGTTCTGCTTAATTTACACTGACCGAGGCTTTTTGTGGGGGTCTGAGAGGAAAATGAGAATGATGGTGAAAGGTGAGAAAGCATGCCGTTCAGTCTTCAGTGACGATCACCAATTGAGCATGTCTCTCAGGCGCTGATACTCCGTGTATCACTGTTAATGAGCTTGAGAAGTGAGGAGACTTTATTGTCGGGTGTTGGGAGAGTTGTGAATTTTAAGTTTGAAGGATGAGGCGATCAAGGCGTCCTGTATGCTACTTCTACATACACACAAACATCTTCAGTGAGAGTCGAATGGGTTTCTTGACATGAAACTATTTCTAACTGGTTTCTACCTGATGGTTGTCTACTGTTTTTAGAAAAAAGATGTCGCTAAATCGGACACATTTGGCTGTGATGCATGTGTTGTGTATACTCTTATCAAAAGGGGTTTAATGATGGGTATATTTGGTTTCATATATTTATACTCTAACGTCTTTGTTGGAATGCTGTTCTATTACACAACAACAACAACAACAACTGTTGACCATGTTCACTATAGTCTATGAATATAGAATACAGCGCAGTACGTAATCTGTTCAATAAAACAACGTTAAAGATTAACACTCACGAGTCAGACACTCTACTGAATCTGACTATATCGCCAATACCACCAGTAGTTGTTCCGTAATTCTTCAGTCTTCGATATCAAAGGCTGGCCGTGAATATTCGGGAAAAAACATGGCCGCCTTTATACACGTCGCATTGAATATTTTGAGCCTTCTGATTGGTTAAGCCTTCTATTGGTGAACTATAAAATGTGTCAGCTCATTTTGGCTGGTTCACTAGTACGCCAGGGTACCCAAAAATTCCAACAGCAACAAGAACAACAACAACAATAATAATAATAATAATAATAATAATCTCAAAAAATGTCGCACATGGGAACGTCAACAATCCCTGTTGTAGTTGGAGCCCTAGGAATGGTTGGAAAGATTTCAGTAGACTAATCGAAGGGATTCCTGGAAGTCCATGCCTCAAAGAAATGCAAGAAATTGTTCCGAAAAGTACAGCCCACTTTTTACGAAGGGCTTTGTCTATGTATTTTTTTTTTGTCAGTGGAAAGTGTCATGATGCCATTTCTAACCTTAGGACCCTGGGCGGGACCCGGAAAGAAATGTGTAAACGCCAGAAATCAAAGGAAATAATAATAATAATAATAACGTGGGTCAATATCTGCACTGGAAAATATGCAACTTTTACGGGAAATAAACTGCAAGAAAGTGGTATGAACGTCACACAGACGCGGTTACAGAGATAGGACCCTTAACAATTTTATGAGAGTTTACAATACGCACAAACAGAACCATTAAAACTAATCTCCCAGGCATCTTGATCAAAGACCAGAACGACAGAAGGTGCTTTCTTATTGACATGGCAGTCCCTGCAGATTGTAATGTATCTTTGACGATCTACAAAGAAAATACAAGGATCTTAAAGTGGAAATCTAAAAAATGTGTCACATGAGGACATCAATAATTCCAGTTGGAGCTGAAACCCTCGGATTGATTGGAAAAAGAATTACGATAGACTCATTGAAGGGATTCCTGATAGCCCATGCCTTAAAGAAATACAAAAAAATTGTATTCACAAGTACAGCTCACACATTACGAAGAGCTTTATCGATGTAAAATGTATATGATCTTAGTATTTTTGTTTCTTTTTCTTTTTTTTTTACAAAAATATTAAGTGGAAAATGTCATGAAGCTATTTCTGACCTCACGTCTCTGGTTGGGATCCGGAAGAAAATGTTTATACAACAGAAATCAAAGAAAATAATAATAATAATAATAATAATAATAATAGGTTGAGTTTTGGAAAATCAATTTTAATGACGAATCTATCATCTTAACTAACAGTTCCATAATTATATAATACCAGGTGATGAAAATGGGTTACATACAATAATGTTCAACCTAAAAAGTATTAGATTATCAAGGATTAATCTCCATAACCAGTTGCAAAAGCTGAGCTCCATAGATTAAAGTTAATATTGTGCGTATAGTGGTCTCGTCGGGGTCTTATTCATTTAGTTATCTTAAAACACAATGAAACACTAAATGCATTCGTCAACAGACAAATATAGTTTTATTTCACAACAAAGTAATATCGCATACAGCAAGAATAACAAAGGTAAAAAATTGGAATTCTTTTGATCTGTTCTGCCTCATCCACCATATTCACCTGGCCTTGTACCAACCAATTATTACACTTTCGATCGATCAAAACCCTTTGATGGGGGGGGGTCACTAATGGAAAGAAGATTCAGGTGTTCGTTGAAAGATTTTTCGCATAAAAATTGAAAATGTATTGAAGATCAGCGTGATTGCAAATAATGGTCAATATATAATTGAATGAAATGTAATTGTACTTTATCATTGGAAGAATGAAGATGAGAAACTCAAACCGAAGTCATTTAATAAATTTTATAGACAAAAGCAAGTCTCAGTTCTAGGAGATAATGGTGGTACTTTGCTCTCAGACTCCAGCATACATAACAATCCCACTATACAAACGAATAGGCCAAATACTGTCATAAAAGACATCAAAAAACATAAATGTTTTAAAAAACATAATTGCTTCAAAAAACATACATGCTTCAAAAAACATAATTGCTTCAAAAAGCATAAATGCTATCCTAACATGATCATCCTGTCTGATAAAAACATTCCAACAAAAAAAAAAAAAAAATTGATAAACTCCCCAACTATAAAGATCTGAAAAGAGAAATTACAGAAATGTGCTGTTAAAACACAACTGTATTTCCAGTAGATATAGGAGCGCCCGGAATGATTAGGAAGTCTGCCGACATACACATTAAGAAAATCTCAAAAAATCCATCTTCAGTGAACTACAAAATATTTTATTAATGAATACTATTTAGATACTTAGAAAATATTTAGGTATTTAAACAAAACCATTATTCCAGTAGTTATAGGAGCACTAGGTGTAATTAAGAGGAACGCTGTTAGATCTCAGAAAATCCATCTTTGTCACAAGTTGAAAAGATTTTGTCAATGACTACTGCTCACATACTTGGCATTTAAGCACTACCCATATTTCAGTAGTTATAGGAACACAAGGAAGAATGTTACATTAAGATAATTTCAGAAAATCTATCTTTATCTGAAGCTGAAAAGATTTTGTCGATGAGTTTTCCTCGGAAGTAACACCTTCATTCAACGTCGGTCTCATGAAAGATTTGGTAAAAGATTGCATCAAGTATCAAATCTTAAGAGAAAAGAAAAAAAAGACAAAAATTAAGAAATTAATATTTGTCAAATAATAATGGTTTTCTTTTAAACAATTATAATTTTCTTTCTTGTTATGTTGTTCAGATTTATCTTGTAGATATTGTTTCAGTGCTAATTAATTATGTTCGCCAATCCCGTTCATCTCCGCCGTCTTTATTTCCGAATAATGATTATAATTTTCTGAATGGATTTGTAAGCCGAATAAAAATCGCTTCGATGCAGAAACAATTAAAGCAGCTCAGTAATAAAAGAACAGAAAAAAATTAGGAATGATTCTGGCATTTCAAGAAGTATTAGGCCGTAAGAATCCCAGCGACCGGATTCATTAAACCGGTGGAACACGTAAATGTCAGGTCAGTAAATAAAGCAAAATAGCAGCAGGAGCGAACAGATTGCCGAGTTGGGGAGGAGAAAGAAATTCACAACAAATTCTTAATCCAACCAGAAAGGAAATGTCATTGGTATTAATGAAAATGAAATAAAAAAAAAAGTCGTAAATTAAGAAACTGAAACCCAGATACAAAGAACACTAGAATAATTTTTATTTTTACTTTATTGCATAAAACTGATAAAAGGCAAATCAATAATGCAGGTTTAGATGGTTAAGACGACTATCATAAACGCAATACCTAGCCTGCTTGCCTTTCAAACCAGTTCTATTGTCTGGTGAATTTGATGATCTATAAGAACACCTTCATTTTGGCCTTGTGTCAGAATTGGGCTAAGCTTACAAAGCTTTTGCATAGAGATTGATATTGATATAGTTGCATAAAAACTCCCAGTATTCTGAAGGCTATTTTTAACGCAGACTGCCAAAGCCCATAAACCTGAAAGATTGGCACAACAGATTCTTGCTTTACGTGAGAAGAAAGAAATGTACTGGGATAGGGATCTAAACGCATTCATATATATATATATATATATATATATATATATATATATATATATGTGTGTGTGTGTGTGTATGTGAAAAGTGTATATATATATATATATATATATATATATATATATATATATATATATAATTTATATATTATATGCGCGGTACTTATTAGAAAGCGCTCAATATCAGAGATAGAGCTAACATATTTGGTTGGATTGATGTGAGTTTGTGACCCTGGGTTTCACGCTTTTGCGATCGTCAAACAATTGTCTATAAAATGCTTTCGTGGCATGCATCTAAAATAGCTTCTGTCCAGCTCCAATTGTCTTACGATCGCAAAAGCGTGAAACCCAGGTCACAAACTCACATCAATCCATATATATATATATATATATATATATATATATATATATATATATATATATATATATATATATATGAGATAAGGATATATATAATTTAATATATATATAATTTAATCTGATAAAATCATAAAGGACGAAATGTATCACAAGTAAACTTTTTCCACCTTATACATTTTTTTCACTGACGCCCACAAATTATATGTCACTACTCCTTGTGCTTGTCTCCAGTTTATCTTGAGGTGTGCATCTATCACTCACCATACAGTTGATTTTCGATCTCTCTCTCACACCCTCTCTTTATAATGTAAAGATTAACCCAATACAAGAGCCACTCAAGGTAGAGTGTTTCTGTTAAAATGGTAATGATGGGTGAAGTATGTTAAATGAATGAAAGAGGAGCTGATACGTTACGGGAGATAGGTAACGATTGACCTTTGACTTGAAGAAGTCGAGATTAAAATGTTCAGGGAATCACCCACGTGGGAGTTTGTTCCACAAAGAGTTCTTGGGAAAGTTTTTTGAGTGCAATTTTTCGTACATTTGTGT